TCTTTGCCATTTCTGCCAAATACGAAACTTTATGAAACCATTCTTGTAAAGTAGGCAAAGATTCCTTCTTCCAATATTGTCCTATTAACAACCTAGCGGCTGTAATCAAATTTAACATCAATATAACCTCCTTAGCATCACAGTCAATAACAATACCCAATAAAAATAATTGCGGAGTAAATTTTACCCTTCTTTTAAAAATTCTTTGAATATTCCACCAGGGGTCCGTTCCATGCTTGTGAAAATGTTGTTGGGTCTTCACACCTTCCCTTCCACAGTGAGAGATAAGCCAGATGGTCAGAGGCATATTCCTTTCTCACTCCAAGTTGATAAGGCAGAGACAGTTCAAAAAGTAAGTATATAGAAACAGCGGAAAGGATACATTGTAGCAAAGCAGAAACATACCACAAAGCCTCCCCCCACCCCCTCTGGAGAATGGCAGAACCCACTGAAAGAAATGGAAAGAATTGAAAGAGAAACACCCCCTCCAGGGAAAGAATGGGTTCTGACACTTACAACTGTCTCACTTAGCAACAGAAATTTTGGGCTCAATTGTGTTAATTAGTTAAGGACTACCTGTAAGATGACTGATATAGAATAGAATAAAAAGACACATGAACATATCTGGGGAAACAACAATTCAGAATCAATAATAACAATGGCGAGGGAAATAAGAAAATAACTGTGCACAGAGAAATATATATGATTGTAAAGTAAATTAATTAACAATAAAATGTTTTCAACAGTGTAATGAGTACCCAATGTTCAAAACAACTGAATACTTTTATTCTCTAATCTAATATGATACATCTCCGTATTGGAATAGCAATCCTTAAACAGATATTCAGAAGTTAAATTACAGTGATAATGGAATTAAATGATGTTAATTAGACAATATATTTAAAGTACTGATATAATGTTCTTCATTAGGGAAAACCTTCCAGGATATCTCATGTAAAAAGTGAAAAAAAAAATACCTACCACACAAAAATAAAACTGCACACAGAATTTAAAATAAAGCATTAAAAAGCTTTTAAAACTAATGATTATTAAAATTAATACCATTAAATTCATACTAGAAAGCTTGAAGCAAATTCAAATGTACTTTAAAAACACCATAACATTAAACATTAAAGCAGAACTGTTTACATGTGAGGTGCCAAAACTAAGTGGTTAAAAGTAATGATGCATTGTATTAACTCAGGCCCTGGTGTTTACATGGGGACATATTTAAATTTATTATGGCTGCCCATTCCAAAAGAAAGCAATAAAAACAGATAAAAATAAAATTACTCAGGAAGCTCAGACTAAAACAGCTATGACAAAAAAAGAAAGAAAGAAAGAAAGAAAGAGAGAAAGAAAGAAAGAAAGAAAGAAAGAAAGAAAGAAAGAAAGAAAGAAAGAAAGAAAGAAAGAAAGAAAGAAAGAAAGAAAGCTCCACAAACACATTAAACTCAAAACTGGTTGTGTTTTGGAAGTGGTGGGTCATTCAGTTTTTTGTCATTTTTTTCAACTTCTAGGTCTAGACAAGTGGTTCTCAACCTTCCTAATGCCACGACCCTTTAATACAGTTCCTCATGTTGTGGTGACCCCCAACCATAAAATTATTTTTGTTGCTACTTCATAACTGTAATTTTGCTACTGTTATGAATTGTAATGTAAATATCTGATATGCAGGATCAGATTCTAGAATAGACTCTAGAAGATAGAACCATCCAACAAAAGGAATTCCACAACTACAGGTAGTCCTCAACTTATGACCACGACTGAGCTCAACTTTTCTGTTGCTAAGCAAGGCAGTTGTTAAGTGAGTTGCACCCATTTTACGATCTTTCTTGCTGCAGTTGTTAAGTGAATCACTGCAGTTATTAAGTTAGGAACACAGTCGTTAAATGAATCTGGCTTCCCCATTGACTTAGTCAAAAGATTGCTAAAAATAATCACATGACCCTGGGACACTGCAACCATCATAAATACAGGCCAGTTGCCAAGCATCCACATTTTGATCACATGACCAATTGAAGGAAAAACAGCAAGAGAATGGAAAAAAGGAAAAGGGTTATAAATAAAAAATCAGAACCCCTGTAACATTTTGTGGATGAAGCGAGGGGTTATGTGACTACTTTTTCATGGAAGTTTCCCAAAACAGAAGGATACGACTTTACAGCTGTCCTAGATTCCAGCTATTTCATTCCCTCCTTCCAACATTTTCACCTTCCACTGAGTGTACTTGATTCTCATCTAAATGTTTTCTGACAAGTCCCTCTCTCAATGCATTTCCTTTTTCCTAACAATTTCTGGCAGTGGAGTATACACTTCCCCAATCGGAGCCTCGCCTTTGGATCCCGACCAGGCGGGAGGCAGAATAAAAGGAAGCCGTTTAAAGGCGGGAGAAGGGAAAATCCCGAGGTTGGCTTGCTCCTGATTCATGACGAAAAAGGCGAAGGGAAGCTCGCAATTCGGGCTGGCAGCTGGCTTTCTCACCCACGCCAACTCCCTTCTCTTCTCTTGCAGCCGGGCGATTCCGAGTTTAAGCGCAGCTCCTAGCAACCCTGAGGAAAATCCCATGGATGGGGGTGGGGAGACTCAATTAAGGTGCTTGCAACCCCCCCATGCAAGGGCAGAGACCAACCCCATGAAAGGCCATCCTGGTTCATGCCTGCGCAAAGCAGCAACTCTGATCTAGACCGGGGGGGGGGTTTCAACAGAAAGGAGGTAAGCGAGTGAACAACACCTCGGATGCAGCAGCCTGTCTTCTGCTGCCCACAGCAGCCCCCCTCCCTCTCAAACCACTACTCATTTAGCAGCTGCGGATCCGATTTTGCCAACCAAAAATAAAAATACCCGGGGATTGGGGGGGCTGTGGGGAAGAGAGAGTACCAAGTCTGCGCCTTGCTCTAAGAATGCGCTTTCCAGTTTTTTTTTAAAAAAAAGCTAAGATTTTTTAAAAAATACAATCCAAAAGTATTTAAAAAAGCAATTGCACTGAATGCATCAAGGCGAGCAGGCGGAAAGAAAAGATGATCGCCGGTACTTTTATTCACAGACACCAGATTTTTTTTTCCCAGATCATAAAATGTCCATTCCTCCCTCCAAAAGGGAGGGAATCAAAATATAAGAGGAACCTTTTATAGGTGGCATTTGGAACCTCAAAAGCTGTCCTGTATGTATCCTAATTTACAGCCCAAATGTTGGAGATGTGGAAGCTTAGATGCAACTTATTTTCATATTTGGTGGAGTTGTAGAAATATAAAAGCTTTTTGGATTAAGATTTGGTGGAACATTCAAAAGATTTTTAAGAGAAAGATAAAGTTTATGCCACAATTATTTTTGTTAGGTGTTATTGTAAATTTTGATGTTAAAGAAATTAATTTGATGTTGAATCTTATAACAGCTGCAAGATTATTGGTGGGGCAATATTGAAAGAAAGATTCTTTGCCTACTATGGAAGAATGGATACTCAAGGTGTTTAATTTAGCAGAAATGGCAAAATTTTCCACTTATTTAAAGGACTACTCACAAGAAAGATATATTTCGGTTTAGAGAAGATGGATAGATTATATTCAGAATAAATATGAGACTAAAAAGTATTATCTAGCTTATGAGTAAATTTTAGATTATTATTAATAATTTAATATGTAGAACTTACATTAGTCTTAGTTTTATGGTTTAATGATATTATTTTCGTATTTAATTTGTTAATATTTATTTTGAAAAGGAGTTAAAGTATGTTATGGATTTGATTGTATAGTTGGGTAATGTTAGTTAGATTATGATTGTTTATTTGTAACCCTGTAATCAGCTCTGGGAAGTGGGGGAGGGGAGGAGGGGGGAAGGATTTGGGATATATATTGTATAAAATCTTTAAAACTTTTAATATAAAAAAAAATACAAAAGGAACCCACCCCCACGGCAAAGCCCTCCAGCGTGCTGATTCCACAGCTAACAACCCTTCCTTCCCTTCCTCCCTCCCTCCTTCCTCCTCCTCCTCCTGCCTCATCCCCCCTCAACTCCCTGCCAGCCCGTCTCCCCTCTTCCACCGAGGTACAAGTGACTGTACGCAAGCACGATCTGAAGCAGCTCCGCTGGCTTCACAAGTTCCCCGGGAAGATACATCATGGATGCCAATGTCCGGGCCGCGGCTTCTGATTGATGAAAAGGCTGGGAGAAGGCGGGCTGAGTCATTGGCTCTTGCTAGCTCTACCTGAGAGGCGGGGAGTTGCTGCTTTGATGCTTTAAGTCTTACCATTCTCTGTATTGTTTTTATCCACCTGGAGATGGATAGAGGAGTGGTGTCTCAGTTCCTAAGATCATCAGAAATATATGTTTGCTGATAGTCTTAGGCGACCCCTGTGAAAGAATCGTTGGACCCCCAAAGGGGTCATGACCCACAGGTTGAGAACCGCTGGTCTAGACTATAGCTCTGAAATTACTTAGCTTACAATGAAGATGACAAAGGTAATGCTGATGCACCTTGTCAAGTGTTAGTGCTCACATATTTTTTCCCCTGACATCTATTCCTAACTTGGTGTTTCAGATCTTCTAATGGTGCAGGCACTGCTACTACAATTGAATATATTCAACTGGTCCTCAGTTTCAGTGTAGATTTGTTTTGAACTTTTTTTCTCTAATTCCCTCTCTCCAGCTTTGAGTATTATGAAAATGACAAACTCTTTGGACAGAAACTCAACATGAAAAACTAAAATATTGAAAGCACCAGAATGATCACTGAAGCAAATGGAAATGATAGGCGCAAACTCGCCTCTGCTGAATAAAAAGTCAATAACAGCCGAATGTTATACAGGTACATTTTAAAATACCGATATCATATTTTATGATCCATCTAGAAATAGTGCGGCGCTATATATTAGATGTTCTCTCCGCTGCGCCCTATCGGAGAAGAAAGAATTCCTCTGGGGCTAAGCCTCCTACGCCTTCTTCACTCCCCTATATAAACACTAATGTAACCTTCGCTGGGTACAAAAAGAAAGAAGCAAAGGACAACACAAACGCAGTTTCACAGCAGCCTGGCTCAACAGCGAGCATGCTCAGTGCCTCTCTGACCTACTTGTGCAAGCTGAGTCCGGGGAGCTCAGTCTGCAGCTTTGCTGGGAGATAGCCGACCTGGACGGCGGAGGCGGCAGAAGCTTGAGTAGAGGGGTGCAGAACTTGACGTTCCCCGGGAGAGCAAATCCTCCTGCACCTGCTGGGGCTCCAAAAGCCGAAATTATCCGGAAGTAGCTTCCAAAATGCCTAAACGGCAGCTCTAGGGAAAGCTGTGGACAAGAAAACGTATCGGCTAACGAAGCTGCCTCTTGGTAAACATTGCTGTCCGGTTTATCTCCATCCCTACTGGGAATCACAGAACACTGGCACTGGGCAATGCAGACAGGGTGCCCCACGCTAGGAGGTGAGGGTCAAGTCAATCAGGAGGGAGAAAGAGAGGGTTCACCTCTTTTCCAACTATCCCTGATAGATTCGACTAGCAAAGATAATGGTGGGTGGGAAGGGCGATGTTGCAGAGGAAGGTAGCGATGGCTGTTTGGTGGCTTCTTGTGTGGCAGCTTATGCGGGCGCAGCGCCTGAATCCATTGTTAGGGTTAACGAAAAACTGAGGCGGTAAGTTGTGATGATAATTAGTTGACGCGATGAAATTTGGTCAGCGTTTAAACTATTAGGCATAAGTTATCTATTACTTATTTTCCTTTTGTTCTGCCCACTTTCCAAGAGCGAAGTTTGGCTGGCCTCATCTGACTCTTGACTAGACTTGTGAGGCATTCTGCTTTCAGAGACTTAATGAGAATGGAAAATGGGAAGAAAAATATCCAAGGCTGGCACAGGAACACATGAGTTGATACTTCTGTGAAAAGATTGTAAGAGAAGAGCCCTGTTAGTTTGTAGAAAAGGGCTGTTAAGGATGGGGAAAATATTTTCTCTTTAATCCTAGCCATATATTGTGTCTTAAGGAAGGCTTGCTTCCTAATCAGAAGGCTTGAATTAAATTAGGAGAGAGGAGGTATTTGCCTTCCATCTGTTCCAGAGTTACAATTCCCAAAAGCATCAAATAGTTTTGAATGCTGGAAGTTGTAGTTCAACAATATCTGGAGTGCCAGAAATTCTATATGCCTGTTTTAGGATACTAAAAATACCAATAGAAGAAAATATTTGTAGCTCAGGATTGAACTGTGGAATCCTTGCCACTTTCTGGGCTTGGTAGCTTTCTTGCTGACATTTCATTACCAAACTAGGCAACATCATTAGTGCTACTAGGTCGTAATCCCACTCCCTACTAATATTGATGATGTTACCTAGTTTGGTAATGAAATGTCTGCAAGAAAACAACCAAGCGCAGAGCTCACCAAGGACCCCACAATATTAAAAGTAGAATGCAATGGGACTCTAAAGAGGCCCATATAAGATAGGCAGATCAGCAGCTGAAAAGATTGGACTTCTTTTCTATTGATAGACAGGGGAGAGTAGAGAGCGCCTCAATTTCTGTTGACCCACTCTGGCTCTGATGCTTTCCAAGAGAGCAAAGCTTTAGATTGCCTTGTCCTTGGAACATCTTCTTTCAGGAAAGGGTCTCTGGTTTAACAGTCCTAGAGTTTTACTCAGAAACACGGACATGAGGTGACCTCTATGCTGGAATTAAACGCATGGAAAAAATAACAGCAAGTGTATTTGAACCAGTGTGGGTGTTTTCGTTTGGGAAAAACCTGAATAAATATGATAACTGGCAATTTAGTGTGGCCAAGTATCCACACTTATTGAGACCAAGGCAAATTCAGTTAAGTATAGGTAGTACAGGTAGTCCTCGGCTTACAACTATGATTGGGACCAGAATTTCCTTTGTTAAGCAAGGCAGTTAAGTGAGTCAAGCCTCATTTTATGACCTTTTGTCATGATTGTTAGGTGAATCTCTGCAGTTGTTAAATGTAATATGTGGTCATTAAATGAATTCTCCCATTGATTTTACGTCTAAACCAGCTGGTAAAGTCACAAATGGTGATTATTTTGGTGACCCCGGGATGCTGCAACTGTTGTAAATACACGCCAGTTACCAAGCATCCAAATTTTGATCATGTGACTGTGGGGATGGTATGCTATAATCATAAGTGTGAGGAATAGTTGTACATTACTTTTTTCAGTGCCATAGTAACTTTGAACAGTCGCTAACTACCTGTATGGCATTATACTTGGTATAAATCAGTGGTTCTCAACCTTTCTAATGCCGCGACCCCATAATACAGTTCCCCATGTTGTGGTGACCCCCAACCACTTATACATCACCGGGTACCAGGGGCGTGGCCAAAGAAAAGGGGAAAAAAATGGCGGACAGCCTTGTTTGGCGACCCCCGTGAAATGGTCGTTCGACCCCAAATGGGGTCCCGACCCACAGGTTGAGAACCACTGGTATAAATGCAAATAGTCAGTCACCTCTCTCAGTATCAGGTATGAAAGAATACCTAAAAGCATATAATTGCTCTTTGTTTTGCCATTAATTCTGTACATTTGCACACTGTGGCACAGTAATTGGTTGCCAAAATCTGTAGATGGCTAACACTTGTTTCACAACTAAAAGAAACAGCTGGGATTCTTAGTAGAATTTAGTCATCCACCTGACTACGCTCAGGAGGTTATATATTTATTTTGAGATTATTAATCAGTTTCCATTCTTATATTTGCCTTACCTCCAAAACATTGTGCCTTGGATCCTTTTCAATAAGTTTCTCAGTACAAGCTGCTGCTTCTCCCTGCAAGCACCTACTTCTCCTATATAGGAGAATAAGTGCTCCTGAGAGTATGGGACTGGACTAGGATAGGGGAATTGTTTAAGAAAGGGAAACAAAGCTTAATATCCATGAAATTTCCTAAATTAACTTATCTTAGGAACCAAGTTGTCATAACAAATAATTATGATGTAAATAAGAGTAAAGTGACATCTAAAGGGGGAGGGAAGCATTAACATAATGCACAGTAAAGTTCTCAAAATATTTGTTTAAAATGGGTTTTGATGATAACCTTCAAAGTAGGGTTCTAGGAGCAAAATTCTTTAAGGAAAAAGTTTCAGAAAAGAGAAACAACTGTGCAGTTCTGTACATGCAAAATTGATTTAGACTATTTACCATCCTTTTGTTCCTGATGTTTTATTTAAACTGGACATTTCAAAGTTTGAATCTGGGAACTTAAACTTCCCAAAGGTAGAAGTTGTGGGTGCTTCATCACTGGAGATTTTTAAGAAGAGATTGGACAGCAACAGCCATTTGTCCAGAATGATATAGGTCTCCTGCTTCTGCAGGGAGTTGGACTAGAAGACCTCCAAGGTCCCTTCCAATTCTGTTATTCTGCTATCTAAAGATTGGGAAACGCTGTTCTACTTACTATGTCTTATCATATCTGATATTAAGTAAAAAAAAGGTTGGGAAATGGTCAAATAAAATTAAAAATCATAATTTCTCTCCAATAATTTAGTGGCAAAAAACATGCAGAAGATTCCATTATGCCACCTAAAGTTCTGCAGAACCCTCAGTATGGTCTGCCTAGCATGCCAAGGACAAAATTAAGAGTATCATTATATTACATTAAAGAGGACCATAAACATTTGTTCCCCAAACAAAAGCTCATAAAGGGTTGGGAAAAATTAATTGCCACTGATAACATGGAAACTTACTAGCTTCTGGAAAAAACAAGAAAAATTAATGGGAGTCTACACTCTCTAATTAACTTGAAATAGTTCATTACCTGAATTCATTATAAATAACTCACTTCAAATTATTTCTAATATTTATAACCCAAAGCACAAAATTAGTAATCAATTTCATTGCATGTATTTCATAAAATAAAAATAAAGTGCGGAAAATTAAATAAGTACCTATTGTTGCATAAATATTTGATGGGCTGCCACAAAAAATAAGAGGTCAGCCTATTTTTCAAAGCACCAGAAAGCAAGACAAGAAACAATGGATGGAAACTAATCAAAGAAAGATGCAATCTTAGAACTAAGGAGAAATTTCCTAACAATGAGAACAATTATCAAGTGGAATGGTTTGCTTTCAGAAGTTGTGGGTGCTCCATTACTGGCGGTTTTTAGGAAGAGACTAGACAGCTACTTGTCTGCAATGGTATAGGGCAGTGGTGGTGAACTTATGGCATGGGTGCCAGAGGCAGCACTCAGAGCCCTCTCTGTGGACAGGCGCGCCATCGCCCCAGTCCTAGGCCTTCAGCTGGGTTTTATAAATCCTTTTTGCTTTAGGCCTCCACTGCTGTGTGCAAAAAAAAAAAAAAAAGGTTCAATCAGTCAATTTCAACTTCTCGCAGGGAAAAAAAGATCTTGCAAAGTTGGAATTGATTGACTGAATTTTTTTAGTCCCACCCAGTCTGCCACACCCACCCAATGGGCCACGCCCACCCAATGGGCCACACCCACCCGGCACTCAATGATACATAAGTGGGTTTTGGGTTGCAGTTTGGGCACTCAGTCTCTAAAAGGTTCACCATCACGGGTATAGGGTCTCCTGCTTGAGTAGGTGTTGGACTAGAAGACTCCCAAGGTCCTATCAAACTCTGTTATTCTGTTTATTCCGCTGATACCAGCTATCTCCTGTCACTACCCCAGATGAACAATTGCAACCCCATAACCTGTAAGATGTATGATGGGTCTTTCCCAGGAATAACAGCTGCCACCAACTAAACATTTATATATACTCTGAAATATCACAGAACTCCTTTTATAATAAATCAAGTTTGGGTCTTATAATAAAGCATTAAATCATTACCACTGTTGCAGTTTAGAAGTTGTCTTTAGAACATATTGAGGAAAATAAATGAATCAAAGCCAAAGGTACTAACTTTTAATCAGAATAACACAGTATTTAGTTTATATTACAGAAAATTAAGAATTCTTTTAAGAATATTGATTAACTAGGGCTCCATTCACTTTATTAAAGACATGCTATGCTTAATGTAAGGTTACAGCTAACAAGTGACTGGAAACAGAAACTTCTAGCTGCTTCTCATTGAAAGAAGATAGGATTTGTTTACAATATCTATAGCTAGTAGCTGGACTGCTATTTTAATTCATTAAAATAATTTATAAGATAGTTCCACTCACAATTTGTGAGTATATCAATAACAATAAAAATCAAATTAAAAAAAGGAATACAAAACCAATAAAACAAAACACAATCACATAAGTCCACTACAAACTCCAATTTCCCGCAATGTTCTTTACATTTACAAGAAAACTTTACTGTTATGCTTGCATGTTAGTTCAAGATAATAATGGACAATGATAATTTATCATATTCACCTTTATGGGGAAAAATCCATAATGGATGACTAGAAAAGACAAATTCAAAAGTTAGAATCACAGACACATTAAAAGTCATGCACGCACATATAAACTTCCTTTTTTTTATTGAAAAGTTTTATAAAAGTTACAATATACACCCCAAAACCCACCCACCCTAAACCCCCCCTCTCCCTCCCCCACTTCCCAGAGCTGAGTACAGGGTAACAAATATAATAATCATACTCTAACTAACATTAACCAACTATGTAAATAACCAAGTCTATAATGCGCTTTAATTCCCCTTTAACATAAAAATAAAGAAATTAAAAATAAACATAATAATATAAACAAGTTAATATCCTAATTCTTGAACAATACAATATCCAAATTGTTAAACAATATTAATACTAAAAATAATAATAAAACTAATAAAAATTCCACTATAGTAAACTATTAATAAAAATAATAATCTAAAATTTACTCATAAAGTAAATGGAACTTTTTAGTCCCATATTTATTCTGAATATAATCTATCCATCTTCTCCAAACTGAAATGTATCTTTCTTGTGAATGATCCTTCAAATAAGCAGAAATCTTAGCCATTTCTGCTAAATTTGACACTTTAAGCGTCCATTCTTCTACAGTAGGCAAACAATCCTTCTTCCAATATTGCCCTACCAATAACCTTGCAGCTGTTATCAAATTCAACATCAAATTAGTTTCTTTAGCATCACAATCTACAATAACACCCAATAAAAATAATTGTGGAGTAAACTTTATCTTTCTCCTAAAAATCTTTTGAATGTTCCACCAAATCTTAATCCAAAAAGCTTTTATATTTCTGCAAGTCCACCAGATATGAAAATAAGTAGCATCCAAACTACCACATCTCCAACATTTGGGCTGTAAATTAGGATACATACAAGACAACTTTTTAGGATCCAGATGCCATCTGTAAAACATTTTATAAAAATTTTCTCTTAAATTTTGGGCCTGGTAAATTTTACATTTCTAACCCAAATTACCTCCCATATATCCAATGGAATCGGTTCTTAAACATTTTGGGCCCATTTTACCATACAATCTTTAACTAAATCCATTTCTGAATCCAATTCTATTAAAGCATTATAAATTCTCTTTATATGCGCTCAGTTTTGATCTTTAATCTGTTTTATCAAATTCTCATCCATTGAAGTAATACCAACCTTTTGATCTAACTTCCACCTAGCCAACAATTGATTATACTGAAACCAATATTGTACAATATTTTCTTGCTTTAACTCAACTAACGGTTTTAATTGCCAATCATTCCCTACCAATCTAAGTAGTTCCTTATAAGAAATCCTATCCAAATTCACACCCATAGATACCCCCTCTATTGCATGTCCAGGAATCCCCCAGATTGATATTTTATAATTTAACTTATAATAATACTTCTTCCAGACACGCAATAAAGCACTTCTTAAAATATGAGATTTAAAAGCTTGGTCAACTTTTTTGTTATAAATTAAGTATGCATGCCACCCATATAATAAATCCCATCCCTCAAGATAAAGTATACTTTTATTTGTTAAATTAAGCCAATCACTAACCAGTGTTAAAACCACCGCATCATAGCATAATTTCAAATTAGGTGCCTTAAGTCCTCCTCTTTCCCGTACGTCTTGTAAGATCTTAAGTTTAATTCTTGGTTTTTTCCCCGCCCAATTAAATTTATTAATACCCTTCTGCCATTCATCCAAATTGGCATCTTTTTTCAAAATTGGTATCATTTGAAACAAGAAAAGAAACTTTGGTAGAACATTCATTTTAACAGCTGCAATTCTCCCCAACAAAGATAATTGCAATTTTTTCCAATTGTTTAAGTCCTTTTGAACTTTTAACCATAATATCTCATAATTATTTTTATACAATTTTATATATAGACTTTCTTAACTGTGTCTCTTTTAATAACTACTCAATGGAGACTGTAAGAAAATATATATTTCTTTTTGGCTTTTTACATAAAGTCATATAACACAAAAATGGAGGAATATGTCTAGAAATAGATGATTATATTTCTTTCATTGCCAATGACTATATAATCATAACCATAATCAGAATTAGAGAAAAAGACTTCCATGTTAAGTGTGGCTTGCTTGGAGAAAGAACTGACTGATCTTTGTGTAGAAATTAAGCATTGAAAACAAATGAAGCAAAAACCTGGAAGAAAAAGAAGATAGAGAGTCTTCAATTAATAGGGATGATTTTTCACTTCTTTCTGGGTTGTTTTGTATGTGTGACTTGGTCACTACAGCTGAGAAGAAGCAGCTGCACTCGTAATCTTCCTAGTCTTGGGTATTCCTGTGAGTAAAACAAATATCTAATAAAGACATGCAGCTGTTTCCTGAACACTAGCGTTGTGCACTAAACCTGGAAACATGGTTTGCTTCTCATGGTAAATAAACATGACTATAAATAAATCCAGGTGATTTACGCAGCTATAGTATTCACAAAACTTGTAGGACATTTATAAAAAAATATATAATAAATAAGCTAAATTGGCATAAAATAAGGTTTTAATCAAATAACATTTACGGTAAACAAAAAACATTTTTCTTTCAAAGACCTCCCAATACATTGTAATACAATCTATTACATTTCTTCACATCCCCCAAGTTTTCTGGTCATGTGAGATCTTGACAAAATACCATATTCTACTATGATTTTTATTGCTAAGATTGCCTCTGATTCCCAATGAATCCCATAAACCCAGTGCTTTATTTAGAAGTATCTCACCTGCCCAGAACAGTACAGAACCAGATGGAGCAGGTGACAGATCATTCTGGATCATCTACAATATATTGAATTCAAAATGTTCATCAGCATTAAAGTGCAGAGAAGCAATATAGCTTATCCTCCACTTAACGACCACAATTGAGCCCAAAATTTCTGTTGCTAAGTCAGACATTTGTTAAGTGAATTTTGCCCCATTTTATGATCTTTGTTGATACATTTGCTAAGTGAATCACTTCAGTTGTAACAGAGTTGTTAAGTGCATCTGGTTTCTCCATTGACTTTGCTTGTCAGAAGGTCGCAAAACCCGGGACACTGCAGTTGTCATAAATATGAGACAGTTGCCAAGCATCTGAATTTTGATCACATGACCATGGGGATGCTGCAGTCATCATAAGCATGAAAAACTGTCATAAGTCACTTTTTTCATTGCTATTGTAACTTTGAACAATCACTAAATGAACCATTGTAAGTTGAGGACTACCTATATGCAGTTCTAGGAAAGAAATATTATTACAGTCATCTGAACAAATCAATGGTTTTTCTAGCCAATAAACCTGCCAGCTGAGATTTATTTATTTATTTATTTATTTATGAGACTTATATACCGCTTTAAGTGCAAGCACTCTCTAAGCGGTGTACACCAGTAAGCAATGTATATATATATTTACATTGCCCCCAACAATCTGGGTCCTCATTTTACCTACCCCGGAAGGATGGAAGGCTGAGTCAACCTTGAGCCGGTGAGATTTGAACCGCTGACCTGCTGAACACAGTCAGCTAAAGTGGCCTGCAGTACTGCACTCTAACTGCTGCGCCACCTCGGCTCATCTCTTTAACTGGCAATGACATACACCAAACCAGGGATATTTTATATGCAAAGCAGGACTGTAACTTTGAATTAATGTTCCCTTCCCTATTCTCTCATATCTCTTCACTGAGAATTATGCTGACTAACAAGCCAGTTACTCTTACTTTTAAGCAACAGATTTTAGGATGATACTAAATTCTTTTTGTATGATTATTAACTGCAAACTATGTAAGGATACTCTTTGAAATATATGCAATATACAGCCATAAAATTGTTCTGACATTCATATGTTATCCATAGTATATATATTTAATAGAACTGCACACAAATTGAATTTCAGATGAAACATCCTAACTCATTTTCAGTGGAAAGCTCTTTGCTTAAATAGATATTTGCTAAAATGTTATACAAATAAAAAAATACAGATTTTATTTGAAATATATGGTAAACTCTTAGTTACATTGTGTCATGTAGACAAAAAGTTTACCTTCATATTATATGTGTATTATTGCTTTTTTAGCATAACCTGAGACATTTTAGATATGCATTTTGGCATAAATAGATTTGTTAAGAATATTGATTTCTGTTACTTTAATCCAGCAGTTCTCAACGTTTGTGTGACGGCGACCCCTGTCACACAAACGTTATGCGCTTGCGCGGCGGCGGCCCATGCATGGCGCGCATGCGCAGCGCCGCCCCCAGAGGGGAGAAAATGGCGGATCGCTGCCTTTGGCGACCCCCCAAAAGTGGTCGATCGACCCCAAATGGGGTCGCGACCCATAGGTTGAGAACCGCTGCGTTAATCCTTATTCCTATACAATGATAGTGATATGAACTCAGTGGTAAACTATTTTTTGCTCATTTGGATTTTTTTAAAAAAATGAAACATTATTTCTGATATTTTTTAAAATTAAAATACTGATCTGAACAAAACAGTATTTTTCTGTCATTGAAATTGTATCAAACAGTACACAAACAAAAAATATCAGGAATTGTGATAGCACTAACATTGAACTTAAACTTTTGAAACAATGAGTTCTGAGATAGATTATTAGTTTAAATCAAAATTGCTTTAACTACTTCTACTACGTCTATTTTTATTTTTATTGTTATAACTTGTTTTATTTTTCAGGACTAGATTTTGTTTGCTTTTGAAATTTGATGGGTCAAATTTGATGGGCTGCTCCAGCCTGGTATATTTACCATTTCCAGGTCCATTAACTGTGATTGGCAGATATATTTGCAGACAGGTGAACATGTTCAAGAGCCACCTTCTTTTGTACTACTGGACCGTCTTTCATGTTTTCGATTTATTAGCAGTATGGACAACTGCTGAAGATGTCATTAACAGCACTTTAAATCATACAGACCTGTTGATTGGATCTGTACCAATGGTAATCTCCAGAATTGACCACATTATAGTCAAGGAAGGTTATAGTGCCTTGATTGACTGCAACGTTCAAGGTTATCCAGAACCAGTGTACAAGTGGTACAACTCAAATGGCCATTTGGTGAAAGAAGATGGTAACAGAGGTACAGTTTTCAGATGCTTTTCTATGCAACCTAGACAAACATATTGTCTTAATGTTATATTTTCTTAAAAGCACTAACTGTGTAAATGTGTTTTTCTCTATTTACTCAAGGTAAATGAATAAGCAGATTAAATAGTATTTATTCAAGCAAATAAATGCAAAGTATTAAATATACTTGATAGATTGAAACAACTACCAACTCTACCCAGCAGGAAGATTCTTTTCCTAAACTTAATCTGGATATTTTAGATGCTGATGGGGCTGAGAAAGTTGTCTCTATAACTTTATATAAGAGCTTTGCACGTCCATTAACCACTTAAAGTCATAAATCTTAAATCTGCACACTATGGATGCCTTATACCACACCACACGTCAACTTATTCAGTTTAGGACCAGTCTTTAATCCCAGTCATGTTGATTCTGACTGTTGCTGTTACTTCTCTTGTTCTTTTTATTACATTTGTGAACTCATGATCAGTAACAGAGTTTCACTTCCTAATGCACACCACTTATTCAGAAACATTATTTTTTGTTATAGCTTAAAGGGAAGAATTATAGCCATCTTAACCCTTGCAGTGTTGATTCTGATTACCCATATTTCCTTGCACTTGCAGTTTTCATACTAAAAAAAACATGCAGGTGACATTATTTTAAAAAACTGCATGGAAATATTACAGTATCTGAATTATTTATTTATTAAATAATAAATTTATAGGTAAAAGGCAATGATGGTGAGAATATGGTAAAAGTTTATTTTCATTTTTTTATTCTTCAATTACAACTGATATTGAGATTTGGGTGAATAAAAGAAGAGCACTTATTTACAAACTATATATTAATGTATGGAACATGCTTGTTAAAAGATGGGATGATAGTCCAAAAGATGGCTCTACATATGCTAGTAAAAGATAAGCGTATTATTAGCAGTTGCTAAGATGGCTGTATGCAAATTAAAAAAGCAGAAGACAAATACCTATTGATGGGAAGAGGACATGTGGGAGAGAAACATTGTTGTAGGTTCCTACTCAGGGACTCATGGGAAGTAGCCAGCAGGATGAACAGCATGCTATTTGCTGTAACTGCTTACTGTGCAATTCACTATATCCATTTGTTCAAGTCCAACAAGGAACTATCTGGATTTGGAAAATCAGATATTACAAAAAACCATATGGACTTTTGAGTGCTTTGCTTTAGTTGGAATGATACTGCTGGATTCTTCAGAATATTGATGATTCCTAATCTGCATAAATTGCTGGGATGCTTTTCTTTAAGCATCAGTACATGGCGAGTGGGAGTAATGGTGAGAAATCTTGTCTATCACAAGACAATATGAATTAGAGTTTATCTTTGATTGTATGGATATATATGGAGATTTTCTGTGCAAATGACAGCCTCCTACTGAAGCAAATGTTCTTTGCCCATTATCCTTTCTCAAATTGACAGAAAATTATTCCAGCATGCATGTAGCTGCCCTGAATACCATTTCCTGTTTAGCTGTGTTATGTCTTCTGAGTCACATTCAATGATCATGTCCCAAATATGCCCCTGCAGGGTATGTTAATAAAACAATTGTTTGATTCTCCTGCCTTTGTTTCCCTTTCACATCCTAATGTCATCTACCAGGGGAAAACTTCTTCCATTCATGACCACAGAGAACAAATTAAGCTATACATTGTCTATTGTAATGTGAGGGATCCACTTAAATGCCAATTAAAGAATTCCTACTCCTCAGAATTCTGAACACAAAAGGACAGAGGTAGGAGTGAAACTGATGGTTCCACCTCCTCCTAATTTTCAAGGACTGCTCTTGAAATGTTGGAAGCTGAAAATGTACGTATGGAGCCGGTCATTGAAACTGACCAATTTGATGTTTGTGAGGTTTGCAGAGTGGAGTCTAAGAGGGAGGCCAGCAGGGAAATGAATACTGCAGTTTTGTTTCAGAGTGAGCAAATCTATCCTCCCTTCTCCATTACTCCTCCCCTACATATTACACAATTCTGCACATAATCTTTTTTCTACAAACTGAATGCTGAAGGATCCAGATTGGGACAGGGAGTACTGTATGTCTATAAAGAATAAAGCCTGCTTTGTAAACCTGGATCTTGAGCAATATGTCACCTTCATAGCCAATCCCTAGTTATTCTACTTATTCCTTCATCTCAGTTCAACCCCTTCCCCTGTTGGGGAGATGCAGAACATGGTTCCCAACAGGAGGACCTTTCTTCCTTAATTATTTTGCCATACATATAGAAGGGTCTTTTTCAAGCTATTTCTTCCCTTGCTTGAAACATTATCAAGACAAGGAGAAACCAAAGATGCAAATTCCATCCAAGACTTTGAATGATAATAATAACATTGATCAGCAGTTCAGCCTTGTTTTGACAAGGGAATTGGCATTCTTTTTCAAAATTCTAGTTATGAAACACTAAACCAAATTAAAAACAAGCCTGAAGAACAGCTGATTGCCAGCTGAGATGCTAGTCAAGCTAGTGAGATGCATATCTTCAAACTCAGGGTTGCAGGATTTTGAGAAAACTGGTCCTCCTGCTTTTTACAGAGTTGCACCCCTACCTCCATTAGCTGTTCTGCAGGCATCAGGAAGTTGCAGGTATGGGAGCAATTGGCATCTGTATCCAATATTCTCTTCAGCCAAAGAAAGAGCCAGATTTGGAGAGGATATGTGTAAGGACCCACCCCACTTTGCATCTTAAGAAGACAAAACTCTTGGAATAGTTCTTCCAATTTGCATCTTAAGAAGACAAAACTCTTGGAATAGTTCTTCCAACAGGCATCCTTTATTAAGAGAAAATGGTTGCAGGCGTTCTAGATAGGACTTGGGGTCCAAGCTCTCCCATTCAAGGTTTTAAGGGGTTCCCCAGTAGCCCCACCCAATCACCCCCTTCTTCCAGCGACAGTCTCAGGCACTACACTCACACCCCCTTTTCCTTACCGCCGGCTGGATGGAGACTTCAGAGAAAACTACATGAAAGGTAATAGCCCCGTTGTTATAGTTAGTCCTTTTGGTGATATCCACATCCAGTCCTTTGAAGTGTACCGAAGGAAGTGAGGGCCATAAAGCCCCTTTGTTCACCCCCTTCCCTTCATCGTATGACAGAATCCAGAGAAGGCAGAAATGGGGTTTTCTATAGTTGATAACTAGAGATGAAATATAATTGGATTCTGACAATATGTATGTATAGCTTAAAAGAGTTAACCCTAAGCGTACAATTCACTTGATTCTGCCATGGACGAAAGAGGCTGCAAAGCCACCCAATTTTGGGTACTCTGAAACTGCCATGTGTATCTGCTGCCTTAAAGGGGGAAACACTATTTTAAAATTGGCTATTTGTTCATGGGCTAAAGATGAGATACAGACAACCTCAATAAAACATAGCAAAGTAAAAAAGGTTGTTAGGACATATTTGTATTTTAGTTAGTTACAAGTGAGGAAAAGCACAAAGACTGGCATTCTTGTTTAGGCATGCCACTAAATTGCTTTTCTGATGTAGGTCTCCTAGCCCAGATCTTTACTATGATCCCTTTGGTCTTGGAAATTATCAGGAAGTATATCAGCTAAATAGTATATGATACATATAGTTTGTATGCAGAAAGTTAAATCTGTGACAAATGCAGCCAAAACTAGGAAAGATTCGAATCTAAAATGAAGAGCTGCTATCAGAGTTGTGACCAAAACAAAACTAAATGGACCAATGGTGAGATAATCCCCTGGGTACTCCAAGCATGAGAAATGAAATTCTGAGGTTTACTTGTACCAGAGAGCTGTGACAATCAAAGTAGACAATTGGGGTTTGGGCAATCAAGTAATCTGACTTGTTGTAGTTTAAGGGAATCTCTTGCCATTAAACAGCTCATTCCTCATAACTCTTCCATCTTTTTAGGCCTCTATTGTATCAAAATAAATTTAAGCATCTTTTGAAATATATGTGCAATAAAATACTGATTTAATTGTACTTAAGTCCAGAAATACATCAAAGTCCTTTTTTATTTCCTTAATTTATAGGAACAGGTTATTTTTTTGCTTATATACAAATCATTTACAGCAGAGGTCCCCAACCATTGGGCACCAGGGACTGGTTACGTGAAGGGAGTTTTGTCCGTGGACTGGAGGGGGTATGGTTTTGTGTGCTGCCTGCATTCTGTGAATGGGGCTTTCCTTGATGTGCGGACAGGTTGCTGACATGCCGCAGCCCGGTACTGGTCCATGGACAAGGGGTTGGGGACTCCTGATTTACAGTCTCTTACCTACACAAAAGTAAACCATGAGATTTCCTTCAGATTAACTTTAAAATAATTGGAAATGTGTGCAATGTCTTCACAGAATGATTTGAGGGATAATTTTGCTTGGGAACATACACATTTTTACAATCTAACAATATCATGAGATATTCTGTGGCAATCCTAGGACAAGCAGCTTGGGGTATTTACTAGACCTAATTAATGGCCAAGACTTCAAGTTTCTTAGCAGCAGTTATTCCAGAATATTGTAGACGCATTATAAGATGTCTTTGAATTACTGTAATGACTTGAATGTATTGTGACATTTCCTAAATGATGATGAGAAGAAAAAATAGATACATTTTACTGATTAATTCTGGCTTCTTTCCAGCAGGAAAATGGATTCTCAATAGCGGGCAACTAAATATTACCAGTGTGTCATTTGAAGATCGAGGAAAATACACATGTGTTGCTTCTAACATCTATGGCAAAGTGAATAATACTGTCACTCTAAGGGTTGTATTTACCGCTGGAGATATGGGGATCTACTACATGATTGTATGTCTTGTAGCATTTACCATTGTTTTGATCTTAAATATTACTAGACTATGCATGATGAGTAGCCACTTGAAAAAGACTGAGAAAGCTATCAATGAATTTTTTCGGACAGAAGGAGCTGAAAAGCTGCAAAAAGCTTTTGAGATTGCTAAGCGCATCCCAATCATCACCTCAGCAAAAACTCTTGAGCTTGCCAAAGTAACCCAGTTTAAAACAATGGAGTTTGCCCGCTACATTGAGGAACTAGCTAGAAGTGTTCCCCTACCACCTCTTATAATTAATTGTAGGACTATAATGGAAGAAATCATGGAAGTAGTCAGATTAGAGGAACAAGGCCATAAATTTGTACGGCAATCAACTGTGGGGCAAGGGATCATGGACCCTGACGAAATGTATATGATTTCCAGTCCCCTAAAACGTAGTGACTCTCTTGCTGCTGATTCAGATGCATCTTCTTTGCATGAACCACCACTCAAGATTGCTATAAAAGCCTCAGTTCACCAGTTAACTAAGAAGGACAGTATTGATCACCTGACACACGATAATGTAGCTTTACAAATGAAAGAAGAGAAAGAAGTTGCTCGGGTACAGGCACAACCTAGTGACCTGGTCTTGGAACCTTCTACTGAATTCACCTCAGTTGAGACAATTGTGGGAAGCGGCAAGGAAACATGTACTATTTATGAAAGCCATTTATGATCATTTATCAGCAAATGCATAATAATAAAAATAGTGATAAAATGAGGTGGCAGAGGTGATAAATCAAAAAGATTTTTTTGCCAGTAAGCCTTGTCTGAACACTATAATTGCAAAAACAATATGGATGGATTACCTGATAAATTCTTTCTCATTATATACTGTGCAGTATATTTAGCTGAGACATTTGATAGAATAATTCCTATGACACTAATATTTAATTGCTCTTTTTGTTCCAGGGAGATTTTAATTAATGTTATTTTAGCTCACAAAACACCTCAGATAATGGATTAGGATTCTGTTGATTGCAAGAACATCTAGAAATTGTGTTTACCACTTAGAAATAAGTTCTTAAAATTCTCAATCTGAACATTCCATTTCAGAGTAGAGCTGTTGAAGTCAGGAGAGCTTTTGTAAGATCTGTAATAACAAGATGCTATAATGCTATAATATAACCTAATGCATGCATACATTACAAAAAAAATCGCCTTTATTTTTCATTTTGTTCTATCAATTACTTTTGTGTATTTTTGTAAATTCAAATATTGAACCTGAAGAACATTTCTGTAGCCAAACTAAAATACTGTATGTAGGATACCATTATCCTACATTTATTTCATCAGATCGTTTATATTTAAAACAATATATTTTTGGCAGTTTTTAATTTAATTGAAAAAAGTAATAATTTCTTCACAAACTGGATAATTGGCTACTTCTTTCTTCCACAAGATCATAAGCAGTCTCTAGGCAGAAAGTCTCAAGATAGCTACCCGTTATCCCAATTACAAAGCACCTTGATGCTTGGTGCTTAATTTTCCCATGGAAAGTTTTTCAGTTAGTAATGAAGAATGGAGGCTAAGTGCAAGCTAAATGGCTTTGGCTGTTTCCATGGGGAAGGAGGATTATAAGAGAAAGCATGAGAGATAAATGTCAAGGTTCTGACTAATGAAACTGAATAAAGTAGAACTCTGAAGCTTGAGAATTCATCAAAGACCATATTTATTGGATACATAATATCAGCACAATCAAAAGTGAAACAAACTCTAAACTTTCCCTCAGAGATTCAAAGTAATTAATTGTAACAATTTCCCTTCCTTCTATTTTGGTACTGATCACATTATCATACAAGTACATTTGGCAATCTTCTTGACAGTTCTTCTTTACACCTTCAGGATCTGGTGAGAATGACCTTGATTTCCACAGGATCGTTCTATGTTTAGTCTAATAAAAGTAAAAAAACAACCAGATCCCCCCCTCTATTTATGTGGCAACTGAGAACAAATGACAAAGATGGCATCAGCTAGGTTCATTGTAGAAGTTGACAGTCGGACCCCCCTAAAGAAAAAAAAGTTCCTGCAAAACAAATATAAATATACATTAGGGATCTTTCCTTATGTACTGGAGGCTCCTGGGGCTGCTTATCATGAAACTTTCGTATTAATCTATCTGCCATTACTTCACTACTCTTAATCCAGTAGCCTCTGACAAGGGATACCCCTTCCACTGCACTAGATACTGTAACTTCTCTTTATGCAATCTAGAATCAAGGATGCATTTTAGTGGGTCTCCCCTTCTACTGGAATTAGACCTGGCACTTTGCGAGGAATTGCTCAAGGTTGAATCTGTCACTGGCTTTAGTACACTACAATGGAATACCAGATGAACCTTTCCAAAAAGCCAGGGAAATTTAAGCTCAACTGTGACAGGATTTATGATTCTTATTATGGGGAAAGGGCCAATAAATTTTGGTTCCAACTTTTTACAGTGTAGCTTTAATCTTAGATATTTAGTCGAGAGATAGACTTTCTCTATGACATGAAATGGTTTTTGAGGAGATCACTGCTTGTTGGTGAATTGTAATGGCTTAGTTTAAAGCCCGCTTGAAATTTGCCCAAGTGGTCTGTAACGATGTCATCCATTCAGTCAAGGTCTGTGAGAAGGGGGCTCTTGAGGATATTCAGGCATGGGAACAAACTCCCTGCCCATAGCTATTTTTTTTTTAATTTTAAAAAGAGTTTTATTGAAGAACAAAAAAGAAAACAACAAAAAAAAGAAAATTAAAAACATTGAACGTGGTAAATCAGCATTTGACAAACATCTCAGTTCATATTGACATTAATTACAGATAAAACTCTTTACAATAACATCCTTCTAATTTTAATCTTAACTTATCTCATTACAATAACTTCCCTATTTTTGTTTTTTTTCCCCACCATCTATAGAATTTATTCCATATTTGGTAAAAAAAACTGTTTCATCCTGATTTTTTAGTCTTTTATTTAACCTGTCTAATTCTGCGCAATACATAATTTTCTGAATTAAAATTTCCCCACTAGGTACAGCGTAGCTTTCCAGTTTTGAGCAAATAATATCCTTGCCGCTGTAACCACATGAATAAATAAATATGTATCCTCTTTACTAACATTTTTTCCAAGGATTCCTAACAACAATGTCTCAGGTTTGTACTGAATGTTTAACATAATCATTTCTATCACCCATTCCCAAACCATATGCCAATACACCTGTGCTTCCTTACATGTCCACCAAATATGAAAAAAAGGTGCCCCTTTCTTTTTTGCATTTCCAACATAAAGATGAGTATCCTTTATACATTTTGGCTAATCTGGCTGGAGGGAGATGCCATCTGTACACCATCGTATACAGATTTTCTTTGTATGGTGACGCCAATGTAATTTTATTGTTTCGTGTCCATACCTGCTGCCATTGGTCCAAATTAATATTGTATCCTAGATCAATCGCCCATGTCACCATTGTCTCTTTAACCTGTTCTTCAAATAATTTTATGTTCCAATAAGTGTTTGTAAATATTCTTCATTTGTTTTTTCTTCGGCCCAAGTAGTATTTTGTCTAGCCCCGTATCCTGTCTATAAATACCCCATTCATGCTTATCTTTCAAGTGTCTTGCTTGGATCTGAAGATAAGACCACCACTCTATATCTATTCCTTGTTGTCTTAACTCTTGTTTGGATTTTTAAAAAACCCTCTTCTGTCAAGATGTCTTTATACCTGATAACCTTATCTTTCCTAAACAGATTGGGGTATATAATTGCCTCCAGTGCCTGCCCATAACTATTTTAAAAGGAGTAAGTCCAGTACTGCTATGCATGGTATTGTTGTAAGTCACTTCAGCAAATGGCAGGAAGTCTGTCCAGTTAGTCTGCTGATAATTGACATAGCATCTTAGATACTGCTCCACCATTGCGTTCGCTCATTCAGCAGCTCCATTTGTACTTGGATGAAAAACTGAGGAAAGACGCTGAGTTGACCCAATCAATTTCACGAACTCCTGTAAATTGAACCCCCCTGTCCAATATAATCCTCTTTGGGGCTCCATAGAGCTGGTAAATATACTTCAGGAACAGCTTGGTTAATGTCTGGAAGGAAGCCCAGGGCAGGCTACAAAACGAGCTTACTTGGAAAAATGATCAATAATAGTGCAGATCACTGCATTCCCACTGCTCTCGGGAAGTTCTACAATAAAGTCCATTGCTATATCTTCCCAGGATTGGGAAGGGTCCACTACTTCCCAGGATTGGGAAGGGTCCACTACTTTACCCGGACATTTCTTCATGGCTGCACGGGTTGCACAGCTCTTAACAAAACTTTCAATGTCCTTCTTCATCCCTGGCCACCAAAATTGTCTCCTCACCAGATGCAAGGTTTTGAGGAACCCAAAATTACTAGCTTGCTTGGCATGATGGCTCCATTGTAGGGCTTGGATCCTGAGAGTGCTAGGAAGGTAAAGTTTGGATCCCTTCCATGCAAGTTCATCTCTATAGGTTAATACCTGTCTGTTGGCTCTGAATCATGCGTCAGACTTAACTCATCTTTGAGCTGCTGGGTTAAGCAATTGTCAGGACTGGTGGGCCTTTTTTGAGTTTGGTCCCTAGTAGTCACTTGAGAAGCCATTTGTGGTGGGGGGGATGATGGCATTGATTATTTCTTCATGGTGGCTTTTGTATTGAGGCATCCTGGATAAGGCATCAGCCAGGAAATTCTTCCACCAAGAAGGTACTTTAGGGAGAAATTAAAATGATTGAAGTATTGCACCCAGCAAATTTGTTTAGGGGATAATTTCCTTGGGGTCCTAAGTGCCTCAAGATTTTTATGGACTGTCCACACTTCAAACAGCACTTTACTGCCCTCCAGAAAATGGCATCAAGTTAACAATGCCCACCGTACTGCAAATGTCTCTTTCTCCCACACAGTCCAGCATCGTTCTGTGTCTGAGTTTTCTGGAAGTGTTATGTGCAGGGTTGTAAGACCCTTTGATTGTTTTTCTGGAGGAGGACTGCACCCACAGCAATGTCACTAGCATCTGCTTAGATGAGGAATTGTTTCTCGGGGTCAGGATGTTTGAAGACCGGTTCCTCTGCGAACAGTCTCTTGAGCTGTTCAAATGCGGTTTGGCATTTTATCATCCAATTTCAAGGTTGACTAGGGTGGGGCTTTCCTTCCCCTTTCCATGTTCTCAAAAGCTCAGTAATGGGAAGCACTGTTTTTTGGAAAGGAAAGAAGGAATTGCCGGGAAAAGTTAGTGAACCTGAAAAAACATTGCAGTTGCTTGCCGGTTCATGCAGGCTGCCATTCTAACACTACCTTCACTTTGGTCCATTTCCACTCCTTCACTGGAGATTCAGTACCCTAGATAATCAAGGTGGGACTGATGAAATTCACATTTAGAAAGCTTGGAATAGAGGTTTGTTTTCCATAATTTCTTAAGTACTTCGCAAACCAATTTGACATGTTCCTCCATGGTCTCAGTGTAGATAAGGATGTCGTTCAGGTAAACTAGGACCCCTTTACATAAGTGATCATGCAGTATGCTGTTTATCAGTTGCATAAACACGGCAGGGGCTCCCTGGAGACCAAAAGGCATGACTTTGAACTGGAAACTCCCTAGACAAGCGGTCTTGAAAGTGGTCTTCCATTTATCTCCCTCCTTGATTCTTACTCAGTGATGAGCTTCTTACAAATCCAGCTTGGTAAAAATCTTCCCCTTGGCCAGGTGGGCTAACATGTCTTTCATTAGGGGGAGAGGGTGCATATTTTTCATACAGCATTTAATCCTTCAAATCCACACACAGTCTCAAAGATCCATCTTTTTTCTCTTTGAATAGTCCAGAGGCAGCCATGCAAGACTTAGCTGGCTGAATGAAACCCCTCGCCAGGTTTTTATCAATATAACCCCTTAGTTCCTTCATTTCTCTGGGAGTCATGGAATACATCTTTGACTTAGGGAGCACCACACCTGGTAGGATTTCTATGGCACGGTCAGTGGCTCAGTGAGGGGGGAGAGTATGTCACACTCTCTTTCACTAAAGGCTTCCATGAGATCCCAGTATTCTTTAGGGATGAGCTGTACTCTGGGTAATCATTCAGCTGTGACTTTCAATGGTTTGGCAGGTTCACATTCCATCAAAGTGGAGACACGTTCCCTTCTTGACCATTCTGTTCAGGGGGAGGGGCTCCTTTCCTAATCTCATGGTTCTCACCCCAAGATTATAGTCTCAGACATTCTTAGAATTATCACAAAACAGATAATCTCCCAATGCTGCCCCATCTCTCGTCGTACCAGTTCAGTTAGGTATGTTGCTGGGGACCCACCAATCAATAACCATCAGCCTGTTCAAACTTCATGGCTAGGGGCAATTGTTTGGTGCAGATTCCCAACTGAAGCCCAGTTGGAAGGTTGATTAAGCATCACATGCAGCCTGAGTCTATTAGGACATCTAGGTCTGCCTGAACCTGTTTTTGTTACTATAATTTTAGCAGGGATGGCTCGACTTACCATTGGGTCATTTTCACCTTCATCATCACTGTCTTAGAGTGCTGGGAATTGCAAGTGTTCAGCCGGAGTTCCATCTCTCCCCCATGAGGGGAGAGACCTCAATGGCTTGATTTTGATGCTCCCAGTTTGACTTCTCCTGGCCCTTTTGTTGTGGCTTTTTGTGCTTA